GTGGCTCTGCCGCCCTGTCCCCACACCAGCAGCCTCCATGGTCTCATCTTCCCTCTCTGCAAGGTGAACCACCTACTGTCACATCCATTCCACTTTAGACCCTTTTAGATTGTGTCTCTGTTCTTGTGCATTTCTGCACATTCCAGAAATAGCATCTTGGATGGATGGAGTCCTTTCAACTCAAATTGAATTGAATGGTGATTGACAGAAATTCTTATGGATTAGATTCATAGTTATTTTACTTAAGGGTAGCTAATTGGTGTATTTTCGTGTATTACATTTCAAATTCCAGGTCACATAAAAAACTTAAGGTTGTCTGTGAATTTACTGCCCATCAGGGAAATATTTAATAAGAGTGTTTTGTTATTTTGAAATATAAGAAAAGTTTTCCATTACCACTAGCTTTCTAAAACATAAAAAGAAAGTTCTCTTGGCTGACAGTGTTTCTTTAATTTGTAAGCTGCAGGACAGGATAGAAGCTGCTGTAGATTGCTTTCATTGATTATGATCACTGCTTGAATTGGCAGAGGAAGAAGTGTTATGATGATGAAACCTTGTCTTATTGTTGTTATTAGCTGTTACCAAAGTCTAATTACTGTGCGTGATGCTAAAATGTGTAATCTGCTGACACTCTGAGATAAGGAGATGAAAAGAAATCAACTCATTTCAGATAGCTGTTCTGGGTTTTTTTCATTATTATTGTTATTTTTGTGCACTCTCCTGAGTGACACTATAGAGTGCATGGATTAAGTCATGGTTTTGGCTGTAAAAGCTGCCGTCAAACTTTGGTTGTGGTTAAATAAGCTTTAAGCACCAAGGGATTGAATAAAATAAGGGTTAGTGAAAGGTGATGACAAGGAATTCAGTTAATGGCACGTGCATCCGCTGAGTGAATGCATTGTTATTAGCTATTAATTTGGTTGCTGTAGGCAGGATCCAAATGTGACTGAGAAGAGGGTAAAGCTTAGGGGCCCGGTTCCCGTAGGAATCAGACACGGAAAGTGCCGTTTCTGCCATGCTGGCTGCTTCAAAGCGGGCATTTCCACAGAAAAGTAGGGGTTTTCCCGCTGTCTTCATCAAGAAATCTCCTTCGTCTGGGAGATGGGCTGCTCTTCTCCAGCGTTGAGGCATCACGTTAGGGACACAGTCCTCGGAAGTTTTGCAGAGCTTCACTTGAGCCGTTGGGGGAGCTCTGCACCCCGGGGAGTCCTGCCCTGACTACTGTGCTGCCTTTAGAAAATGTTTTGGGATCCTCTGGGATGACAGATGCTTGTGTATGCACATGTAACATGCTGTTAATAATTAGAGCTGATTGGATATTCAGTACAAATTACACTGGCTATGAAGTTAGCCCCTTCTTTAGGCTTACAAGTGGCTCACAAAACACTGTTAAAGCATATTTTTAAATGTATGTTTTTTCATAAACATTGACAGATTTAATTTGAACAAATGATGTCGAGTCTGAGTGTTTTAAAACTCTTGCTGGGCTGTTCACTGTCAGTTGTTAATGGTGCACGTTTGGATCTCTGAGTCACAGGGTAAATATTTTCTCTTTCTAATTTCTAGGATTAAACATGAGTTTCAATGATAATTTTAAGTGCCAGTCCCTCCTAATGGTGTGTCTGCCCCCACGCCTGGGCCTACGTGCCATGTCTTCAAAAAGAACTGCTTAGAGAAGAGAAATTGGTCTGACTGCATCCAGCAAACATGAGGAAAAGAGAGTATTTCCATTATCTCTCATTCTCCATGTCACCTGGAAGCTGGGTTGGAGCTTTCTTTTGCAGTTTTTCATCATAAGCTGGGTTGTTTCCCAAACCTGTATGTCCTTGTGTGAATCTGAAGGAAGAGCTGTGATTTTTTTGAATATTGACTCAGGCTGAATCTGCCTCCTGTGGAGGAAGAAGAAAAGTTCAGCCCCACTGGCTGCATTTCTGCAAAACAAAACCCACACATGCAGAGCCATGCTGAGTATCGAATTCATATTTGCTTTTTGTATGTGTTCATGTATACTTGTAGGGATACCTCTAAGACAGCACACTGTGTTGGTAGAAAATAATTATTCACTGGTAGTAGTACCAACAACCATGGTTGGTTTGAAAAGTGACTAATGATTTCGGTGTAAGCAAATCTGAAATAATTTAGAGAAGCCTGTTTTTCTGCTGAGGAACAGCTCTCCGTGGACTGTTAGGAACTCCAGCCTTGCTTGTTGCTAGAGGAACTGAAAAGGAACAAAACTCAAAGATATAATCATATATTTCTCTGTAATTGGAGGAGGGATGGTAACATCTGTGCTATGTTCTTGTCCAGGAGAAATAAAAATCCACACTAGCAACATCTATATATCCCTTTCATTCATTTTGTTGCATCCATCGCAAAAAGATTTAACCATTTGCAAAAGACCCGAAATAATTTTTGCACAAAATAGTGATGTGCAGTGCCATAAATAAAAGCTGTTCTCACGTATATAGTACACACATGGATACCTCTGCTTAGCAATTAACATGCTTAGAAAACACACATTTTGTCTGGAAAAACAAACAAACAAAAAACCATAAAAATCCCCTAAACCCCAAAGTGGCAACATTCTTCGGGAGAAATGCCAAAGAGGATGGGATGGGAGGAGGGTTGATTATCCTTTTTCTGCCCACCTACCTTTGTATTTTCCCTTTGCACTCTCTCTCCCCCATTCCTCCTCTTTTTGTATAAAATAGTCCTGCAGTATATAGAGCATAAGAATCATTTCTCTAGCAGCTTGAGGAACCTCCATCCCCATTAGAGGCCCTTTCCAGAAGAAGTAATTTCCTTCTCCCTATAAATTATGCATCAATGTACATTTAAGATTCTGAAATGATGAACAGAAGATGAAAGCGTTGCGGAGTGTTGCTGCTCCTATGGAGCTGAATCCACGACATTGTATACAGGCTCGAACACACCTTGTTAAGACAAACCTGCACGTGTTGCTGTCCTCGTACTCCGGCTGTAAAAACGTGGAGATAGGAGCTCCTCCGACTTCTCCAGCCTCAGCTCTGTAAGAAAGACTTTTTCTCCTCTTGGAAGGCAGTGAGTGGGAAAGATAGCAATGTGTATCCAAACTGGTCTTCCCAGGTGGACTCTGCCAGCCTGAGCCAGGATGATTCCTGGTCTCCCTTGCTCCTGATATGTCCGGAGACCTTCCAGAGTCTCAGGTTGAGATCCGCGAGTGCTGGGGCATGCATGATCCCTGTGGCCTTACCCTAAAGCTGACAACACGCACAGCTTCGGGGTTATAAGGGGCTTAGATGCTCTAATGGGAAAGGCAATTCAGTCAGCTAAACAGGAGTTGCGAAAAACAACTGGTATTTCCAAACTGAAATAAGGATATGTCATTTTGAACCTCAAGTGTGTGATGGCTGAGCAGTATGAAATGCGTCGGGTGAGTGGAACTACTGCATGCAGCAGTGGGGCAGGTCAGTGCAGAGCTGCTTAGCTAACTTTAAACTCAGTGTCATAGCTCAGTGTATGAATGATGTTGTTGGCTTCTGCAACAAAAATACACATGCATATGTATAAAAATAAATGAAAAAAAAAATGCTTTTTAGCACAGATGAGGTTTTAAAGTGCCTTTGCACAATCTGCCCTTGGCATGTGGTTTCCATCTAGTGTAACAGGGGTAATAAAGGGGCATGTACGCTTTCTGGGGAATGGATACTAAATATATAACATAATTAGGTACTGAAAAACTGAAAAATGCTTTCAGGTTATACATAGCCTATGGAGATAGATGAAGAATGTAATCAAATGTACATGTATATTTTAAAGAAAAATTTTGTGCTGCTGCCACAGTTGAAGCCGTATGTGTGCACCCCCGCATGGGTTTATACAAAGCTATATGGGAAAGCATCCCTTATATTTTGTCATGCCAGAGAGTATAGGGAGAATTTTTAAGTTCACCCTTGGAATCCGCAGGTGGCAAATGAAAATTAATAATAACTCTTGAAAGGGAAAATTTGGGGAGTTTTATGTAAAACTGTTGTATATCACAGATCTTTGTATAAAAAGTAGAAGATGCGCCTTGCAATAGGCCTGAATTCCTCTAATGCCCAGTGCTGTGGGAACCGATTCCAGACCTGAGATTCCTGTGGAGGGTTTCAGGGCAAGTCAAGCACTACTGTGGTGTTTGAGGTGAAACAGGAACGGTGAAATACCTCTGTGGGGTTCTGGCATCAATGAACCTGCACTTATTCTGTATTTCTTCCACGGTCACTTAAAATGACAGCAAAGTATCCCAAGCACTTTGCACTGTTTGCATCACATCTGGCGATGGCTGCCAAGGACTGTGCATTTGCGTAACTATGGGTGCGTCTTTGTCCTTTCAAGTTTTGCTTTAAGGTCTGGTTGTTCACTTCTACCCAAGTTGACCCAACTGCTGAGCTTCCTCTTTGAAGAAAGCAGTGCCAAGTGGTACCTTTCCTTTAATCTCCTTTGGCAAAGTTTTCTTTTAGAGAGAGCGTAGTTTTTGCTTTTTAAATGCAACATCCACCCTAAAAGAACCTGTGTATTAATGCAGGCCGTCGAGCCTTTCATCACTTATCTGGGTGATGGCAGTCATGAATTTTTTATTTTCTGCAGGGCTCACTCCAGATCTGCCACAGCATTGTGTGGGTGCACACATGTAAAAAGGCTACTAATTGAAATTCAGATGTAACGAGATGAAGTTTTGCTATTCACCATGACTGTCTTTTGTTTTAGCCCTTGTATGCTCAGTGCACCTAAACAATGCAACCATTGCTTCTCCTTTTAGATTCAACAAGAACAACTTAAAAGGCAAGAAATATTTCTGTGTCTGCTCTAGGGATGAAATATGCCCCCTCCCAAATGGGAATGGGGTGTGTTAGTTTATTTATTTACTTACTTGTGGGGAGAGACAGAGATTTTAATGGAACTGAAAATAAAATAAAATAGAAATCTTGCTGCTATAAACTGCTCTCTTTTGAAGATGCAAATGTGTTTCTATTGCCTAGGTAACTATTATGGAACGCCCAAGCCTCCCAGCCAGCCCCTCAGTGGGAAAGTGACTTCCCCCGATGCTTTGCAAAACCTGCAGTCTGGCTCCAAGCAGTCGACTCCAAAGCGAACCAAGTCTTACAATGATATGCAAAATGCTGGCATAGTGCATACAGAGAATGAGGAAGAGGATGATGTACCTGAAATGAGCAGTAGCTTCACAGGTAAAATGAAAATATCACAGTCCATCAGTTACGATACATGGGGAAGATTTTCGGAGGGGGGTTATTTGGGGTTTTTGTTTTTAATGGGTTTCCTGCAAAGCTGTCAATCCCAGACAGAACTGGCCAACAGCACCGGGATGGCAGGTGTCTGGGGGTGGACGATAACATGCACAGTTGTGTCTTTTAAAAAGGCCTTGTGGGATTGAGCTTGATGAGAAAAAATGGGGAAAAGCTCAAATCCATTAGTTGCAGAAAGTTCGAGGAAGAATTGAGCTGTGGTTGACAGTTCCAGTCATTGTAAATGGTATGAAATGGCTCGACCAGGATACATTTGAAATTAATTATTGCTCCTTCCAAAATACACTGCTGTCCTTTCCCCTTCCTTGCATCTAGAGATACCCGTCACATACAAGTACTAGGTCCTCTTCTCCAAGGTACCTTCCAGCAAACCAAGGGCTGCTTGCTGCAGGAATGAGGTCTGAAGCATGGGTGCAAGCTCTCTATTTTTATGAAGGCCTTGTGTCCTGCTGATTTTTTGCTGAACAGAGATCTCAATCCCACCATGGCTACATTCGAGCATTGGCTGAAAGATCACTGAAAACTTTTGCAATCTGAAGTCAGGTGCTGTGCAGGCAGATTCAGAGCAAAATACTATTGGAGAGTTGTGAGTTTCCACAGAAGTGAACTGGAAGTTTGTGAAGCTCTGAGGGGCAAAAGCTCTTCCCCATGTCTGCAATCCTAGTATTTGCTAGCGCTTAGAGCATTACTTCCTCAGCTCAGTTTCAAACACTGAATTCATCTTCCTAGCTCCCTTTTGAGATAGGTACTTAGCAAGCAGCATTATCCACACCTTCAAGCCTTTCACAGCTGCTTGCTGTGGGTGCTCACCATCACTGGCGCTTGGTCCTTTGTCCTCTGGTCACTTCCTACCACCATGACAATTTTCCTTCCCAGCCTCTGAGGGGTCACAGGAGCTCTCATGCCAGTTCCTACCTGCAAAAGTCCTGGCTCTAAGATCTGTATAGAGCTTTAAAAGGTTTTAGGCTGAGATTTGGCTTTGACCCTCTCTGGGCCAAACTGTGAAATGGCTTTGAGGGTTGTGCTCTGTTACATCTTTCTAACCCAAATCACTCCTGGCTGGCCTAATCCCTCCCAGGCTGGAGTTTCTGTCTCTGCTTACCGGCTCCTTTACAAAGTTTTGCATCTAAGAGTAGTTTCTCACATGTTGTGACATGGCAGCAACCCCAGCCCTTGTCACAGGACATGAATTTGAGAGGAAGCTGGTGGGAGATGCTGTTTGACCTCCTTGCTGCCCATCTCAGTTTGGTGCCCCTGAACTGACTCTAGCGTCATTTCTCTTCCTTGTTTTCCTTCACAAGATGAAATACTGGAAGGTGCAGCTCATTTGTCACAACGTTATCATACCCTGGCCCCTTGCCTCCATTAAATGGGCACAGAATCAAGAAAAGAGTTATTTCTCGTATACCAAAGTGGTTCCTTATGCTTATTTCACATGTAAGTGTGCTAGCCATATTAAAATGCTCCTGCTTCCTTAGAAGACTTCTCGGTGACTTGTGTTTTCCAGGCTTTGGCATGTTTACACTCGCAGTCTTAAGCTGGCAATGATTCATTCATGCTTCTTTATCTTGTCAGCTTCTACCTAAAAATATCGAATGCCAGGAAGGCTAGAAAGCAGGCAGCTGAGGGTACTGGTATAGTCTAGATCTTTTTCTTCCCTCTTCTCCCAGTTTATTATTTTCAGTATCTTGCCTTTTCGTAAAGGCAGCACACAGACCAGCAATAGCACAGGAGCGGTGGTTAACGACCCCCCCAAAAGCCAAGGCTGTGGGCTGTGAGTTGAGGACGGCAGTGGTCTCCGGTCTGGAGAGCGGAGACGAGATCTTGGCTGTGAAGCCCTTTCAGTCCCACTGCTTGGGGACTTGGCAGAGTGTGACGCTGATCTCTCTGTCCTTTGCTCAGTGTGTTGCCTGCTGCGTGTACTGGAGACTGGTGGTCTCAGGTGATTTGGAAGTACGGCCATTGATTTTCAACACCTGCAAGATCCAAACAGCGAAAATCCCTTTGCTAGACACAGGGGTAATTTTAGAATTTATCTGTTGTTGCCAAAACCTCTCTGTGAAGCAGTTAGGGGCCCAGCCCTGGTTTGTGGAGAGCATTTACTGTGATTAGGGGTGGAGGGAATAAGCAGCAGTGTTTCATGGATACAGCTCAAAACTGCAGGGATATAAGCATCAGAAGTGTTTCCTTAGAGGGAGGAGGGCCAGATACATCATAAAATACTCTTGAGTGACTTTGACTGGAAGGATACAGTGATGAGCCATGGAATAAACCTCCTCAGACAGCTAGAACAGGCACTAGTGAGCAGCAACATGTGGACAACATGGTGTAGTGCGGACATTCATTTTAATTTTTAATTAAAAAAAACGCACCACAGTAAAGTCGTTCACCATTAACTTGTTGACTTTGAGCTTCTGGCTACCTTCTGCACTTGTAAAAATCTCCCCTTTTGATCATTCTTCAAACAGGAAATTTTATTCTCCTAATCCCTGTCCCACAATTGGCACTGCGGGAGTGAACCTGTAAGCCTGCTCAGAAGCCCATTGAACTCATCTACATCAGTAAGCCCTGGCCTCAGACAGCTTGGAAGACTTTGGTACCTCAGCAGGGCCTATTAAAGCGAACACAGTAGCTGATCACAGCTTCTGATTTGCGCTGGCGAGGGTCTGGCTGGCAGAGTGTGTGTGGGCAAAGCAAGCTCCTCCCTGCTGGCAAAAAGGCTGTGGAGTCTCTGCCCTCCGTTCATCTGTTGCTGTGTCTTGTGAATTAAAAAGCAAGGAGAGGAAAACCGTAATGATAAACCCATAGAAGCAAATGGGAGGAGAAAAAGACTGATTTTCAATTTTATTTGTGCTTGTTTATTCTACAGCAGAGTCTGGTGACCAAGACGAGCATAATACGCATATCGTAAGAGAGACAGCCCCACCGTCCGCGATTGATAGCCACACCAACGTTCCCACCACGGAACCATCTCAGAACCTCCCTCAATACCTACCTCCTTCTGCCGAGGATAACCTAGGTCCTCTGCCGGAAAACTGGGAGATGGCCTACACCGAAAACGGAGAAGTCTATTTTATAGAGTAAAGCACATTTTTGTTGTTCTAATTCCATCTCTCTCACTCTGGGCATAAGTAAACCTCCATGGATGCATTTTGTGTGTGTATGTGTACGTATGAAATATTTAGTGTATACAGTTATGTTGCAGAGCTGTAAGTCCTTTACCGCTTCTGAAGGGGTTTTGCATTTCCTGATTGGATTAACATCCAAATTACTCCTGAGTTCAAAGGCAGGGGGAATTGCTCGTTTTATGAGGGTAGTTACAAAAGCAACAGACACTTATAAAATGTGGGCCAGTTGTTTTCACGGGTGGAATGAAAGCTCCTAATTGAAAGGGCTGAGACTTCATTTCTGGAGCCTGCCTCTGTGCATAATGCAGCAGAGAGAGTTCCTCTGGTCGTGCTCAGGTGGTAGCAGAGCCAGGGAATGGACTTTGTGTGATGTCTTCTCGTCAGAGCAAATGGGCCAAAAGTGTTAACATGCTCCAGTGGTTTACAGAAGGCATAGCTCAGTGCAGAGTAGGCACAGTAAGTTTGGAAAAGCAAGAAGTACCTTGTGCTCTGCAGACTTTGCCTAAGAGCTGAGTGCTGTCAGCAGTTTTATGATGATATTGATTTTTCCATGCCATAAATAATAGTCTCTAATTATACTTGTCTAGATTTATTGAGATAGGAGTAACTTACAAAATGGGACCTGTTAGTGGAAGAGATTTCTTGCCCAGAGTGTAGCTAGGCATTAAAATTCAATTAGCTTTTGAAACTCAAGCCCTTAGCTGCCCAAGTAGAGGAAGGGGGTGAAGAATCGATTTTGGATTTGATGATCTGTTTAATGCAGTCTTGGAAACTGAGATCCTCTGTCTGTGCACCAGAAACCAGTGGCCAATTAATACAGAAGAACCTCCTCTGCTAATGCCCCTTCTGATACTCTGGAGAATCATGCTGGATTAGGGCAGTGAGGGGAGCAGTCCTGCTCCGTCATCAGGAGAGGACTTTTGGACAGGGCCAAGGAAAGGTTCATCAGAGCAGGTTTTCCCCTGGCTGCAGTGGCAGGGGAACGCATCAGAGAAGAGTGCCAGAAGATCTGAGGAGCTGGGAGGACTGAGAGCACCACAGCAGCTCTTCACCAGCTGGGAGAGGGCTGCTGTAAAAAAGGCCATTTCCCAGGGCGCTCTCAATTACCTGAAGAGGCTCCACCAACCCCCTAGTGTAAGCCAAAGTCTAGTAGGCACAATGCAAATTCTCATCACCTGCATATCAGATGAAACTGAAATGTGTTCATTATCCCAAACACGGTATTCTGCCCCTCATTATGTCCTCAGGGTGCCTCATTCTTTGACGTACTTTCTGGCTTTAATGTATATAACACAGCCTGAGTAATAGCCCATCCAGCCTGCCATTTTCCTCCCTGGAGGAGGACAGATGATGAGCACTAAATGCTGCCCAAGCAGCTGGTTGCTCCCTTTTTTGTCCCCACATGGGCCCCTGCTGTCCTTCTTTACAGGTGCTTCAGCAAGGGGTTCTGCTGCTGTCACCAGCTTCCCCAAAACCCATCCCCATCGTTGCTGTATTCTCTATGTGCGTGTGTTCTCTTAGCAATGCGGGACTGTAGCACCTTAAATAATTTGTTAGACCTTTTGCAGGAGAATCACATATGTGGTGGAAAAATATAGCCTGCATACACGGCTGTCTGTCTGACATGAAGATCTGGTAGCACACCAACTGCTTCCTTCCCTGCGGTGCAGATTGACCATTTTGAGGATACATAGGGGGTGATTTTTGTGCAAGAATGTGTTAGTGTGGATGCAGCACTGAATGACTGCAGTTCTATTAATTCTAAGGACACCCTGAGCCTAAAAACAATTTAGTTTGATTTGTATCAAATTAAGAGAGCAAGCTAATGAGCTGTGTGGACCCAAGCTGGCTCAGATGTCTGTACCATCATCTACAGCGCTTTAGGTTATCAAGTCAGGGTGCTGAAGGGAACAGCATGGGAATATCTGAGCTGCTTGCACAGAACCAGCACAGGTCCAGTGGGGCCAGAGCTGCGTGTCAGATAACCGATCCTGATGGCTTGTAGCTGAAGCAATTTGGCTCTTGAGATGCGTTTCTCTGGTGCTTTAATTGGGATTTTCATTACACAAAGTATCCCAGTCCCTCATTACCCTGCATGTAGATCTATGCGTGTTACAGGTCTAACGCAATCCTGTCCCTCTGAGTGTATGATCTGAAAGGTTAGCTAAATTTTGTGTGCCTCAGCAAAGCACACTGTTGTGAACCTTTGGTGAGTGAGAAAAGTTGCAAGAAATATGCAAATATTTCATTGCTCTCCTCCCACCACCCTGTTTCTCAGCTAGACTACAGACTTATCTATAAGTTGGCAGAACCCCTCTGCTTTATTGCTGTTAATTTGCCTGACTGCTGAATTTCTGCTATTCAGTTTTCTAGTTGGCGATTAATTGCTCTGAAGCACACAAAAGGATTAAATGCATTTGCTCATTCTGCCTTGGGAGGGCTGGGTAGTAGGATGTGTAAAACAAGGACCTTTTATGTATGCACTCAGATCCTAGGAGCAGGGCAGTCCCCTCTTCTTGCAGTGAAATACAAGTTTGCTGGTCGGTTGTTAGTCCCTCAGGCATCATAGCCCTCATTACAGCATTTCCAGCTTTGCGAGACTGTTGTGAGGCTAAGGTTAAGTTTGTAAACCTCTCTGAGACTTTGAAGGAGAAGTAAATAGCATTACTACAGTATTGAAACTTAAAACTGTTAAGCAGTGTTAAAGGCTAAGCTAGATAAATGATACCTCAGGGACTGGAGGGCTATCTTTGCAGGTTATGTCTGAGATGACATCAGGTTAGATGACCTTTAAAGGTCCCTTCCAACCCAAACTATTCGATGATTCTATAAGAGGCATTATATTGCAAGATTGTCTCTGTATGCAAATGAAATTATGGGAGAAAATAATTTCTAGAAAAATGTATTTTAAGCCTGTTTACTATGCAGCCTTCACTGCTGGGACTAGCATCACAATACTGTCAGGGCACTTGCAGAAAGGAAGGGTTGAAAGTAAAGCTGTTCAACTTCCATCAAAGGCCTTGACAGAACATTTTTATTTGTGTAAATAAAAAGTTTTCACTGGAAATTTTGGTTTTGACTAATGCCTGGGTCAAATCTAGACAAATGTCAAAGGTCTTTTGCAGGAGCAAAGGTCACTGCGTGGTTTAGGGAGGAAGCGAAACTTCTGTCTTTCCATCAGGAGACAAATGGCTCAGAGACAGCTCCTGGAATTAAAAAACAAACCACCAAAGACAGAAGTTTGGAAATTAATATTATAATATTGCAGCTTTCACGTGCATCCTTCCAGTCAAGAATGCTGATCTGTGTATTTTCACTTTCTACCTTTGTGTTTCCAATGCCAAGATTCTTGTGATTTGGTAGACTAGTTTGCAGAACATCAAATCGTAATGCCGTTTCTCCTGAAGCAAAAGTATGCCTTCAGGTCTGTTGAATAACAAAGAGGATATATACTTTTATGTCACTGATACTTCAGCTCTGCTTTATTAACAAAGGTCATATTTCCATTTTTGGTTTGCAGCCATAACACAAAAACAACATCTTGGCTAGATCCACGGTGCCTGAACAAACAGCAGAAGCCTCTAGAAGAATGTGAAGATGATGGTAAGAGACTGAAAATAGTGAGATAATAATGCGTTTGGTCCATTTCTATGTGGCTTTCTTCCTTTCCTTTTCCCCTTTCCCATAACCTGCGTTCAGAAATACTCAAAAAAAAAAAAGTTTATTAGTAAGTACATAGAGACAATATCCATTACGTTGTTGTAAAATCACTGTCTGTGTATGTAAGATAGCCGTTGAGATGGCAGATCATTTAATAAAAATCAAAGAGGTGCTAGAAGTAAGAGGTCTCTGTTTTTGCAAAGACATTTGATTAGTCGCTGATGCTGAACAAGACTCAAAGCTTTCTAATATGTTCGCTCCTTGGATCGCTGTGTAGGAGGGAGCGACTGAGTCTCTGTGTGCTCCATTGTGTTACGCTTCAACCGCCTGCTTTACATGAATTTGAAAGAGTTATGTTGTTATTTCCTTGTTTGAGCAGAAATAACTCGATTGCTTCACCTCTACCGTTAAATTCTGACAGTCCGCTTAGTGTTGTGATTGCTGAAAACAAATTCCATTTGAAAGTGTAGATGTTTGCCACTGAAAATTTACACTGATGTAATTTTGTATTCCTTGAGATGTTGGAAATGCAAGCCACTGTCCAATTTAGAGCAGCCCAATGCAGGACTGTTAAAGGAGATTCTTTCCCTGCATCTTTTAGGAGATGCTGGAAGAAAAAGCGAATCATGATCAAAATAACTTAAATGTTTGGGAAAACCTGTGTGGAAATTCTGGTCTACTGACCAGGAAAGGTGATGGTATTATAATGCATAATTTTGGCTAACACAATGCTATCATGGTAGACATATCTTAAAAATTGAAGGGTTTACTTCATCAGTGTTGGTGCTGTCCTTGTAAAATTAGTTTTCATAATATGATTAACCTCCTACTGGTGTGAGTCAGCTCAATAAGAGTTATGATTTTACTTCAGAAAAGGATCGACTCACTACATCCCTTTTTTACTGGTAGGTTCAAATCTGGCCTCCAGAACTGCTGTTAACTATTTTTGCACATGCAGTTTTTGAACCTCTGCTTCCTTTCACGTGTGAGATTTTGCAGGATGTGAGAATTTGCCTGTGCAGCCTTCGCTGCCACGATGAAGCAGGTCACCAACTTCTTAGTGCACACTGCAGCATGCACCCAGACCGCAAGGATGTGCAAAGCCCAGGCAAAAACCAAGCATACCGAGCTGACGCCTGCTTCAGATCCTTAACAACTGGTGTCGTCTGTCAAGGAGCGAGCGGAGGGAGCTGGATTAATGAAGGCCTTGCTCTGCGCCTAAAAATGGACATGTCAGTGGGTAATCAGAACTGGAACAAAATTAAGTAATAGCGTTTGCAGGCAAAGCTCCCTCCTCCTTGCAATTAAGCATTGCTGGCAGTTTAGAGAGGAGGTTGCAGAGTCTCAGCACAAGCTTTCCTCTTTCAGAAGGTAGTTCTCCCTGAAGCACAACTTCTGTCCTGGCTTTCTCTCCCAGCAAGACTCCCGCTACGTCGATAGCCCCGGTGATGCCAACAAGCGGCACGTGCCGCTGTGGGTCGGTGCGCCCCACGCTGTGCTCTGAGACAGGGCAAGGAGCAGCCGGTAGGATGAGTCAACAGCGGGTGGCCGAGCTCCTCTGTTAAACAGTTTTAAGTCTCCTCGCAGAAGGGAAAGTCTTTCAAACCGCTTGTGTTCTTAGCAATTATAAAACAAGCATTGGGATAATTTATTTGATTGGGATTAGAAACATACAGCTGGGTATTTTTTTGTATTCAATGAAGTTCATAATTTTACAGAGTGGTGGCATTTTTGTTTATCAATCAGGTCCTTAAAATCAGCTGATTTCATCTTCCCCCACACCCCTTCACTTCATTCACTAAGTTGCTCATTAATGAATATTTTTAACATTCAATAATTAAACCAGTTGCTTCATAGGTACAGCAGTGCACTGCACTGTTTTTCTTGGCTGCTCTGATCTTGCTTTGCACATAAGAAGAATTATATTTTAGAAAACAATGTGAGCACAAAGGAGAGAGAAGGTTATTTATACTGCATCATAGAAGTTGGACGTTTTTTGGCAGGGGTCACTGTTGGGAGTATTTCCACTGAAGTCAGTGGGACTCCTCGTCTGTTCTGTTTGTTGTGTGTGTCTGCGTGTGAGTTTTCAGGCTCGATCCCATCCTGTTTGTGGTTTTTATAAATGTTAGATGTCGTTTCAGATTTGTTTGGGCGCAGTTGCCTTGTGTTTTTTCTTTGTCAGGATCCATGCCCCCAACAAGTTTTTGGTCGTTTCCAGTTGTTCAGGCTATCAGAGGAAATTGCAATTCATATTTCACGCTAACAGTCCTAAGCAACTGTTTTGGTAGAATATATTGCAAACAGGTCATGGAGGTGGTTTTTTAGGTGTCGAAATTTTCGAAAGCAATGCTGTGATGCTACATCTTCTGTTTGCTTCTATCATTCATTTATGTGGCTTATACTTTACTGTGTTAGGTCCAAGATTGTTTTTACCATCTTTGTTCTGGTTTTGTCATGATCTTTCATTTTCAGACTGCATTTATTATTATTTATAGGCTAAGCAATACTTTAATCATCTGTGTCACTGTGAACTTATGAATATGGAGCAGATAATGATAAATGGAGCAACAGTGAATATTGATGGCTTCATGTGTTTGAAAAATTATGTGATCTTTGTCCCAGGTGCCCCGCTCAAACTGGTGCATTCCTGTATATGCCTCACCAGTGCATCTGGACTTCGCTGTGGGCCTGCAACTCCAGTTAAACAAGGCGCTTCGCTTCATGTCTATCTTAAATCATCTGAGTAGTTACAGTGAAGTCAATTGGACCTTGTATGCACATAAATTTAGGTACTTTCTTGCAAACCTTGCTACATTAGTTCTTATTTAGATGCAAGGTTTTCCTCTCAGATTTCTTCATTGGTATTCAGCTCTGGCCTGCTGATAGATCCGTGTGTCTACAGAACGGACTGCAAAGGTCGGACCATACAGATCTGAGGGAGAAGCTTCACTACAGTGAGAACACCACAAGTGTATTACTGTGCCATATCAAACTGCGGCATGGAAGGTAGTCAATTGATACAGATTTTTTGAGAATGCAAGAACGCAGTTCTTTCATTATCTACATCAGATCCATCAATATTCTGATCACTGAAGTGTGATAAATGGGAAGCTTGGGCTCGGTCTATAGAAAATTAGTGCTGGTTCTGCTGTTTGCTGTAGGGAATTTCTTGCTTGGTGCTGGTATCTGAAATTTTCTTTTAATTTTTTCTGTCTCATTTACTGCTCTTCCCTTGGAGAAGAAGGGGTACACACGGAGGAACTGGACAGTGAACTAGGTAAATCATCCATCTCTCGTTTTGATGTTTGACTTCAACTGCACTGTTTTAAGCCTTTAATTACTTACTTTCTCCTTTGTATCATTTTGCATCTTTCAGTTTTTTTATTTCAACAAGCCTAATTTATCAGCAAAACTTCCATAGCATACAAAGCATTAATATTCCCGTAGCTTCAGATCTACAGTGTTTTTCTTACTGGTTCAGAGTTTGAAGAAACCTGGAGAACCTTAATCTTACAAAGTTTGTTCGAAGTTGCTTCCTCCTGGACCCTGCAGAAGTCAGGGGCTTTTCCATTGCCATCACTGTCTCCAGGAAAAAGCTTATAGATGCCAAAATTGCAATCAAGTAGCTAACGATGCTTTTTTTTGCTGGGGCCAAAGACATTTGCCAGAGAGGGGAAGCAAAGTGTGATTTAGAAAGTTTAAGAATTACATAGGATGCTTCTGCTGAGCTTATGAATGAAACAGCAGAAAATTTTGCCTCAGCAGGTGATTTTATAAACAGATGATTTTCGATGATGCGGTACACTTTTATTTGCTGCATCTTTTTGTGAAGAATTCTGTCTTGGTATCTAATCTCAGCGGTGCTCATTCTGTCTATGCTGCTGGTGGAGGTAGTTGTTATTTCTGTTCAGCTATGCTCTAGTGCACTTGGAAAGCTGAAAGGCATAAGAAGTTGCATAGGATTTTATTTCCACTAGGTCTATTATTGCTTTTAAAGAGGACTGTATTTACAGTTTATAGGCCTGCGTACTGGAGGATTGTATTACCAGAGCATTAACCTCTGGTTTCTATAATGACTTGCAAGTGTATTCTGCTTCCCACTTCTGCGTGATTGGTACGGCATCAGCAGCCAGCAGGTATTGAATGGACTTTTAACACTACTCCAGGAACTGTTCTTTGGGATAATATGCCTGGAATAATGTTGGAGGCCTAACTTCTCTTAGTGCCAGAATTTGAAAGAAATGACAATTTAAAGAAGAACACAGTCACTTTAGTGGTACATTAGCACTCATACAAATAATCTACTAATAATAGGTGGATGCACACCAACAAGCTGCAAAGATTTCTCATGAAGGTCTTCACAAGGATGACTTAAAATAAGAGAGAGTTTAAAGAAAAGCAAATGTAGAGGCAATAATGAAATGGAAATGTTCCCTTCTTTCAGTCTGGTATCAGGATCTAGTGCAAGAGAAGAGCTGAAAAAATAGATGCAGGGAAACTCATTAATTGATAAGCCTGACCCCAGTTCTGCAGGCACTTGCATACACAAGTGTTTTGCTCGGACATCATGAGATGTTCCCTTTGGTTTAATGCCGATAAGCTTTATTGAGCTCACAGCCCTTCGATATGCTGTTGAGATCTGCCAACGTTGCAGTGTAAAGAAGGACATTTTCAAATGGCTTAGTTGGTTACAGCAACGTTAGGGAGGGGGCATGAAAACATATGGCCTGGTCACTAACCGTACTCATGATTAGTGTAAACCGGTTGTTGCCAGATATTTAGCTTCTTAGTTTATTAACAGTTTCTTTTCTAAACATAAGAAAATCAAAACTTGAAGCATTTGCACAACTTCTTGTTTTCCAAAGAAGTGGATTGAATATGGGGTAATAGAACACCTCTCTTTTAACAGAAGGTTATACGAAGGACACAAAAATTTAATCTTTGGAGTAGAATTTGACGTACACTTGGGCAGATCCTCCTGGACTCACAGGGAGCAGTAAGAGCTCAGTATCCCAATGTCACCTCCAGCTCCTCTTTAGTGATGCATAGGTGTGACCAAAATCCCTGGTGGTTGGAGAAGTTCTTTTTTAGGAATCCATCCATCCCCTCTGTAGGGTTGGATATTAAACAAGAGCATCTCAGTGGGAATCCATGCATTTATCCCAGACTTAAAAATGTAAAATTGGATATCTGTGCATTGAATTTACGCGCTGACAAATGCTTTGAGACTGCAGTGCTGCATGGATGTACCAAAATAAAAGCCATATGGCTCACTCAGACTCCTAATGATGCAAAATGTTTTTGGAAATCTTATGTTTGTGATAAAATCTAGTGCTTTGGGTCATCTTCAGTTTGGCAGGAGAGATAGAGAAGGGAAATGAATAATTTAAAGCCGCTAAGAAGCCAGACTGTGCAACATGGCTATGGAGAATATTGCCTTTTGCTTTAGAGAAATTTCAGAGGCTTTTAGAAGTTGGAAAGTGCATCTACGTAATCAACAAGTAATGTGCTGAAAGCTGCAGTTTTGTGTATTGTAACTTCTGAAAACATAGAAGTGTGTTCCTTAAATGGAAAGCCACAGAGATAAAAAACTGGAAAGATTTTGGCACAATACCATTTTTGGGGTTAGGAAAGTGCTGGTTTTCTGACCTTCCATGAAAATTCTTTAAAAGAAAAGAAAAAAATAAAATTTAATACCAAAAATTTTGTGAACAAAAGAAAAGCAAAACATTTTTGTTTGAGATTTAAAAATCAAAACCACTTAGTAGTCCAAAACAGGTAAAAGATATTTAGCAGGAAAAATTGTGGAAAACTCATTTTAAGGCATTTGTGCATTACTTCTCCCTTCCCCCATTCTTTTTTTTTTTCTTTTTCTTCCACTCCAGCTTGGTCTCTTTACCATTCTCTTTCACCGTAGTGCAGAGAATTAAACAGCTGCCACAACTTGTGATTTTCCTGATTGTATGCTAGGTCTTAATTTAATTGCACTGAAATTCTTTAAGCCAGTCCCGCAGTGTTTTCACCATATGGGACTCCTTTGCGAACCTGAGAGTTCCCTTTGCGAAAAGACTTTCAAGATTGGCCTCTAGCTTTCTAACTTTTTCTCACATACACTTGCACAGTGTAAAGGAATATCTGCTTCTGAAGCCTTCATTTCCGATCGATCTGCTGATAAAATTGTGGAGTATTTTCATGCCCAAAAGCTAGCACTGGCTTGCATTTAATTGCTTATGTCTCAAGGAATCCAAAGATGTTAAACCCAATAAGGATAATATAATGATGAGAATGGAAAACCTACCTTATATCTGCAAATAAGGGACATGTGGAGCAAAAACCATGAAAATTGATTTCATCTGATCTCCAGCCAACTCTGAACACAAACATAAACTTTGAGTAATTAGTCCATGTGTGTTTGTATAGATTCTGTTCATCTCCAGTCTGGAGATATTTCTATCCTTATGGCAACATAGCTGAAGTTTATAAATGCAGAACTAGTTACACTTATCCTAATTAATGGACCATTGTTGATTGTATTGGCTCAGCAATTGACGACATGAATGAAAATAAATCTTTGCATTTGATAATAAACAAACATAGATTATTTGCTATCAGTCTTGTCAATTTAGGGATAAATTTTGAGGAATTATTTTGCATGGAGTATTTGAACTTGTGTTATCTGACAACGGCTTTTTAAAATTATTATTATTTTTATTTAAATGAGTGTGCAGAGTCTGTGGGGCAAGGACCACACTTGCACAGTCCATAGCGTGGTGGAGCCTTCTTTCGAGTTGATTCACAGTATTACACAAACACACCGCTCTATTGTTAATGGTAATAGATTATTTCAGTACCCACAGCCAACGGGAACATTGTGTTTAAATGAGTGGGACAAGGATCAGGCCCTTAAGTAGTACATACAGCTTTAATAACCCTCAGTTGGATGCTGAAGTGATTTTATTACATTCACTAATTATAGTCAAAGTACTACATGCAGTCTAGAAAATCAACGGGAACAAAAGTGGATACATTTCCAAATGTTAATTTCATCTTCAGAACTGTTTTTTGTTAATTATGCTAATTAAAAAAGGAAATCTCTGTTACATGTGATTATGGCAATATGTGTTTTTACATTAAGTGCTATGCAGTGAAATACATCTGTGTGTGCCAGCCCCACTTGGGTGGATTCCATATGCTGGGCGTTTACGTTAAACTCCCTTTGTCCTGTTTCGAGATGCATTTTTGCGTTGGGCTCACGGAGGAGCGATGCAGTGTAAATCCCTAAGAAAGGAGTCAAAAAAACCTTTTTTCAGCAGTGGTGAGCACAAATGGCTCAGCCCTGGTACAGGAGATGAAAGTGGTCTCTCTGTTAGTGTGCTACAATTGCTTGCCGTAATCTCACCCATCTTCATATGCTGGCATTAAAATGCCTCTGGCCCGTTGCCTGCATTGGCTTCCACTGCAGTGCCTCCATCCAAAGCCCTGATGGTCAAACCAGGAGGGTACTTGAGGCACTCCCAGAAAGGAAATTTATTGATCATTTTTTCATTTAATGCAAAAAGCAAATCTAAAATTGACTGGCATGGGCATCTTCCCATTGATTTGCTAAGCCAGCACTGGTGGGACAGGCAATGACATTGGTGCCGTGCTATGCCAACCTCTAAAAGGAGGCTGTGATTGTTCTGAAAACTGTTCGAAGCAAAGTCTGAGCTACTGATGAGTTTTGCACGCTGAGCAGGACCTGTCAGAAAAAACTTCATTGGAGGCTTCAGTAATGCTTTTTCTATTTCCAGAGTTGCCTGCTGGTTGGGAGAAAATTGAGGATCCCGTATATGGTGTCTACTATGTAGAGTAAGTGCTGCTCTCCGGCTATGGTGTGGCTGTCGGGTGGAGGAAGGTTTTTCTCCACAGCGGTCTCTGTGCTTTGTTGGTAGCATCTCATACCGAGGAGGAGGAGACACAGGCCCCTATACAGGCTGGGGGATGCCATAGGGGCTGGGAGAGGGAACTCTGCCTTGCTTGCCATTCCCCATCCTCTGGTGGGCTCTGGCAGCAGCACCCTGGGGTGGGGGTGGGCTCAAGTGAGACAGGAACACCCTGCGTAAGCTCCAGGGGTGAGCTCAGGGGAGACAGGACCACCCCTGGGTCAGGGCGTGGAGGAGCCCCAGCACCTCACAAAATACTTTTTTCCAGAGAACATTAACAAGTCTGCAATTAACTGAGCTCGATCCCCTTTGTATAGTGCTATGATCAACATACGAGTGTGCAAAGCAGACCGCCAGTTCAGTTACGAGTCAGAAGACACTCAAAAGGAGGAATGGACGAGCCTGTGTGACCGAACAGCCACAGCAGAGGTTCTTGCATCAGGCTGTGTTGTTGTGAATAGAATTACAGGTTTAATGGGACTCTCTCTGGAATTAGAACAGCTTCTTCTTTATCTAGATGTCAGATCGCTCCCTTGGGAAACCAGAGATCTGAGTTTTGTTTCATCACGGACCCCATAAAATGAATTTTTAATTATGTGTATACTCCTGTCTGGTAGGATGGCTTATGATAGCCCTCAGAATAGACATGGAATACAGTTTCTGTCTGCTTTGGCTTATTTCTGACCCTACCATCTGTGCCTAGGGACACAAGGTTAGCAAACTGTGTAATTAAGGCCTGACATTTATTTATCAAAGACATCAAGAATATTTTTCAGCTATTAAATGCCATGCAAAGAGGTCTTTACAGCATTTTTTCCTGTCACTTTATATATACATGCCCATTAGTTTTGTGGCACTCCTTAATGATGAAATTAAATAGAAAAGTAACAGCAATGAGACATAAGTTTCTTTTACTTACTTACTATCTATAAGCTAGCAAGATGGTTATAATTTGAGCATTTGTCTCTGTCCCTTCCAATTCAGGCACGCTATTATTGCATAATAGTTTTTATTGAGAAACAACTGTATCATAAAAAAGTTTATATCATTTTTAAAGTAGTTATCATTTTTTCTTAACTTTCTGAAGATATCTTGAAATGGGAAATCTTTTACAGAACTCATTAACTTGTTTTTATTTGAGTAGTTAAATATTTTTCCAGTGATTTAATATTGATCTTTAGGAGAAAAAAGTTCTGAGCGTAACTATCTAGAGTGCTTCTATTGTAAATACTTGAAAAAGTGGTTGGTTGTTCGTTCAGGTTTGGGGTTTTGGGGGGGTTTTTTTGATGAAGACATGTGGGACAAGAGACAATAAAATAGCAAGTTCTTAATGGTAAACTTTGCTTTGGATACAAAGATGGGCTTTAAGCTAATATAATTTTCCAAGGTCTATCTGCTCCTCTGCTGTAGCAAAATCACTACTGAAAAATTGCTCTTGAACAGTTGATGAGCAGCTCATCTCGGCTGCAGCCATCAGCTGCAGAGAGTCCCCGGACCTGCCCCCACCGCCCTGGCATCTGTGGCTGGTGTTTGTCATTTGGTTTCATAAAATGCTTAATCCTCTGCGGAGCGCATTGCTTGTCTGCCGTGTTTGGGGCTGGGCTGCTTTTTTTCCCTTTCCTTGAGATTGGTGAGAAGTATTGGCTCTAAGCATCTCATACAGGTCAAAAGCTGCCTAATGGCCCTCCAAGGAGGACAGCTGAAGTTTCACCAAATGCTGGTGTCCGCTGGGAGTATTTGCTGGTGGCTGATTCTGAATATACTTTGATCCATTTGGAGCCCAGCTTTCCACCTCATAGCCTGCATCCCCGCAGATATTTTTAAGACACCCTGTTAACAGTGTGCACTCATCAGATAGCTGACAGATGTTACCAGCTGTTGGGGTTTTTGTTTTGGTTTTTTTTAACTTCAGCGAGCCAGGGAATGACTGCACCTCTGGGAATCTGATTAAAGCAGGGATGATATAGGCCTGTCTTCTAAAATGCAATCAGACAGAGCACCTTTTCTGCTTCTTCCTCATTTTTCACAGATAGGTCACTACTTTAATGTATTTGAAGGAATTAGCCATTCCTACTCAAGACATCATATCAATACTGGAATCCGCTTGTTTTCCTAAATATGCTTTTTGGCATCACTAGGTGAGTCTTGCTCCACATACGCTGCTGTTGGGTTTGTTTGGTATTTTACTGCTTTCC